ACACACACACACACACACACACACACACACACACACACACTCACAGTAGCACTGATACCATCTAACAACACACACGGTCGCAGACCAGACAGAGTCCAGTACCTGCTTCAACACAGCTGCTGCTACACGGAGCAGGGAGGAAACCATGGCTGCAGTTATTAGAAAAAACACAGAGTGTGAAAGCAGAGAAAAGCCAGGTGGAAAAATACAGGAAGTCCTGGTACAAGGGCCGACTGAGAGACAAAGCGGTGTGAAGGTATGAAGGGGGCCGAAAGGGAAGGAGACATGTAAACCTAAAGTATAAATTACAGAGAGATGAAAAGAGAAAGGTGATGTTTCTTCTTCTTCTTTTTTTTTTTTTTTTTTTTTTTTACAGACATTTTGGAGCTTTTCGAGCAAAACCCTTAAAATAGATCCTGGAAGGAAAGCATCCTCTCTGCATCAAGATATATGACTCACTCTGTCCTTTTCTCTTTCTCAGTCTCCCTAATCTTGCTGCTATATTTAGGTCTGGCATCATGCCCTTCGACAGGGAGGTTGGTAGCAGCTCTTACTGTAGCTCTTCTCATCTTCCTCTCCTTTTCCCTCTTTCTGTCAGCCTTTCCTGTCCTTTCCTTCAAATGGATTTGCACCTTTTTGTGTAAGGTCATGGATCTATGACACACGTTTATAAATTAAATAGATATTTCAGATATTGTGAGGTGGGGGTTCTGTGGAAAGGTTATGAATAATTAATATCTTACCTGTTGTAGGTATTTCTTCGAACACCCTCAGTTTGGAGAACCAGAATTAAATTCTGGCTGGACTGATGAGCTAACATCTAGTCCTACTCCAATCTCACAAATTTCATAGCAGGATTAAGAGATTGCAGCCTCTACAGAGTGTGAACAAAATACACAGATAAAACCTTCACTCAGAGACTCTCACATGCTCACAACAACAAACACAAACTGCCTCTTGTTCTGCTCATTGCTGACACAGTAGCACAAACTCAGCAATAAAAGATCACAAAATCCAGATGCAAGTGAGTACAAGCCTCATGAGTGTTTGAGTGAATTAATAATTTTACACATAGACACACACACATAGAGTGTGGGGTTGTGCACACATTTGTACTTCTGACTCAGCAGCACAGACGAGAGGAGGAGCAGGAACAATATTATGTCTCAAAACATCACGTCACATCACATACGCACTTGTCCTCTGTGCCACAACTCCCAGGGTGGCAGCGTAATGAAAAATGCCTGTTTACATTTCATTACAGCCAAACGAGAGACTAAAAACAAAAGAAACAAAGGCAGGAGGAGGCCAGAGCAGAGAGCAAATCAGATGGTCGGGAAAAGAACGAGAGGTTTATATGAAAAATAAGACATTTCCTTTAATAACATTTGTAACATCACGGTTGTATTCTGGTATAATTATGAATATATTTGAAGATGCAGAGTACATTTTAATGAGGACACTGAATCAGTTACCTTTTGCTAATACAACATAAACCTGCATTGTTTTCTACAGACATCATAAAAGGGCACAAATGGTGTAGCAGCAAAACAAGAGTGTAGTTTTTCCCCTCTACATAGGCTACAGTAGTAATTGCAGAGTAGAAATTCACCGCAAGGAACAGCTAAAATGAAAATTACAAATACATTTCTAAAATAGTACTAAGTCATACACAGTATGGATATGACAGATTGTTAGATTTATATAAGAGTAAGCTATATTTAGACACTGGAGACTGAACAATAGACTGCAGATACAAATCACACAGATGTTTGATGCTCACAAGATAAGGACATTTGAATAAGATATTAACATGTCCACACTTTTAATCTTCAGGGGTCGTGGCTTCAGAAAGACAAGACAGATCACGGCACATCTCAGCAGAATTAGCTAAGAACAGGAAATTAAACAGAAAACTTGGTAAAAACATGTAGAAGTTGGACCCCAAAAAGTTGTGTGAGCGCTGCAGGTTATTCAGAAGGAAAGTTTACGTCACACAGGTCTACATGAGGTGAAAAGACTTCTTTCCTTAATATACATTTTATTTCCTGTGTTCCAGTGGACTGAGCTACAATATGTGCTCTGCAAAAGACTCTTAGGTTTCCCAAAATATGTGTTTCCTTATTTAAAATCAGCTTTTTATTCAACTATTATTGAAAAAATAAGGGCAATTATTTGATTAATGCAACTCAAAAATGTACAAACAGGAATGCCTGGAAGCAAGTAAAAGAAAGCTTCAAAGTGATAGTTTTGACG